ACATTGTAAAATCACCTATTTTACCATGTTGGTAATTGTTTTGTAGATTTTCAGATTTGATGAATAAATATATATGCAGTCATTTTTTTCTGACAAATGTTGGTGTGTTGGATAGTGTGACCTCTACTGAATGCTGTGGTATATCCTGCTGGTTGCAACATCACTACTGTACCCCTGTAGCGGCTGGTAAGAGGAACCACAGCACCCAGCAGGGGACTGTAATAACCGTCTGAGAGACAATGAAAATTGCATTTGGTGATCCTACTAATGGGGTCTTCACTACTGTACCCCTGTAGTGGCTGGTAAGAGGAACCACAGCACCCAGCAGGGGACTGTAATAACTGTCTGAGAGACAATGAAAATTGCATTTGGTGATCCTACTAACGGGGTCTTTTAGAAACTTTCTACTCTTCTTCTATTACATCTCACAGTACCAGTGCATGGGGATGTTTGTCATCTTTTTATTTCACTCCCTATCATGTCGCAGCTTTCTAGCAGTCCACAGGTATCAGCTGTGAATAACATATAAAAATCAACTTCTGCTAACAGCACAGCCTAAAAAAAAAACAAAAAAACTTCTCAGTCATCAGACACTCAAATCCATACCAATCACCATCAAAAATAAAGTGTGGGTACTAGATGGCATAATAGCATGTACATTTCAAATATTATTGTCTTAATTTAAAGTAGTTCTAAAGGCTCAAGGCTCAATTTATGTATGAAGGTAAAAAAAAACGTCTGTATGCAGCACCCCCTCCAGCCCTCCCATAATACTCACCTAAGACTCCCCTTGATCCATACCGCCTTGTGCACTAGAGTCTCGGCTATCCCGGGACTCCCTCTTCTCATTGGCTGAGACAGAAGTGGGAGCCATTGGCACCCACTGCTGTCAATCACAGCCAGTGAGCCAATGAGAAGAGAGAGGGGTGGGGTCGAGCCACGGCTCCATATGTGAATGGACACGCAGAGCAGCAGGTGACCCCATAGCAAGCTGCTTGCTGTGAGGGCACCCGAAAGGAGGGAGGGGCCAGGAGAGCCTGTGGGGGACCTGAGAAGAGGAGGATCCCAGCTGCTCTGTGCAAAACCATTACACACAACAGGTAAGTATAGACATGTTTATTATTTTTTCTTCTTAAAAAAAAAATATGCCTTTAGAATCTCTTCATGCAACATATTCTGAATGTATTGTAACTAACTATCCAACCACTCTGTTAAAATTCTTAGATACTGCAAACAGGCATAATATAATGTTATCATCACTGTTTTAATATTTTAAACAGAAGACATACTGTTTTCAATACCTCCTACCAAACTGAGATCCAACCATCTTTTCATTTATAGTTCCCTGAAGTCCTTTGCTATCTGTCAATTTCAAATGTATATGTATACTTTGACTTATGTTTAAAACAAACAGCATTATGTTGCTTATACATCTTTCATTTTGTAGATTATTACACAAAAGTTAAGGGTATCTCATCCTCCCTCAAAAAATGTAACATAGCACTCACCCCTGAAGTTGCTGATGGAATTTTATAGTAGGCTCTTTTCTATTCTTGACCCATCCTGTAGCTGCACCCAACTGCACACCGACCCACTCATCAAGTTTCACTCTCTTTAATTTGCTTGATTAATTTGTTTAGAAAGGGTTAGGTGTATTTTTACAGTATTTACAGAACCAAAACGCAGAAGATTCAAATGCTAATGATATGCTAAAACACAGGTGTCAAACACAAGACCCCTGGGCCATTTCATGTGACCCTTGCACCTCTCCTGCAGGTACCCCCTTGTCTTCGCCCCACCTTGTCTCAGCAGTCAGCAGCAGTGAGGAGAATAGAACTCCTCTGCCAAATCCTCAGTGCAGCTGCAGGACCCCCTCATCTCTGCCTCCCCTGGTCTCAACATTCAGCAGATTCTGATAACGGACTCCACTCCTCCTCTGGGCCTCCTCCAGACCCTGCACTTTAGGCTTTCCAGCTCTGCCCCCAAAGGGGGTGCACCGTGATGTTAGGGAGGGTGTGGGATTCTTGACACCTGATGTACATGTACTGATATACTGTACATGTTCTGCTGATTTTACAACCTAACAATTTATAGAATTGGCCTTTTTTCAACAAAAGTGGATCTTTTCAGGCCAGTGGAATTTTGTGGTGCTGTAACATCTCATGCTTTCTTTGAAAAGTGACGACAGATGTGAATGGCAAAATAAAGCACAGATACAGTACTGAAGATAATGAGAGCAAGTGCCTGGCAAGTAGCTGAACATACTAGCCTCATTTGAAATTGTACAGTATATAAGGTGCATATATACTGTAAATGGGCTGACTTATTATCTACCAGTTCATTATAAAAAATACAATATATTTCAAACTTCCAGTAAAATTTAATAAAAAAAAAAAATGAGTAATATTTTCTTTGGTTGTAGGAGTAAATGGTAAAAAGAACAATGTGTTCCTGGAGTTTACAGTCTGTATCTAATTAAAGTGGAAACATTTGTGGTCTTTGTCATCTCTTAGGCTATTAGTGAAATAGACAAACAGATCATTGTGTTGACTAATAAGGATCTAAAAGTTAATATGTTTAAAGGAGATAGTGGTTAGAGATCATTAGCGGGTATTAAAACAGATTGGTAATATTCACTACCCGCAGCTGCTTTCTGTCTCTCTTGACGTGGATGAAGTCTCAAAATGTGCCCCTGGGAATTTTAGAAGCTGGGAAGCAATGGATTTCCTGTTTAAAACAGAAATACACTCTGAAATTCTTAACATGTACTTTTGTTTCACAATCTTTTCATGTCTTGTTAGCATCTTAGTTTTTTCCTTAAATGGATAGTAAACACATACATGAGATAGGCAAAGACTTTAATGTTAAAGCTGATCTCTGAATTATTTTCAGTATTGCACAATTGTACAAGCTTCTCTCCTGAACTGAAAATGCTTAGACTGATTTCACTGCATAATGTTAGCTTTTCACAGTGTGCATTAAGGCTTGGTTGACATCTGTGCAGGTGGTGCCACTGCGGATCCGCACAAAAATACATGCAGCTGCACTACCTGCATAGAGGAATGCGGAACCGCAGACGGGTGCCATTACTTCTAATGGCACGCCGCCCGCACTGGAAATTGCAACCGTACTGAAAACCTTGGTTCCTGTGCGGCTGCGTTTTCCGAAAAAGTGCAGGGACTTCTTCCCTGCGTGTCGCGGGGCAGCTGCAGGCATCATCCTGGTATAACCACTCAAAGTCCAGTGATGTAAAAGTACATCGCTGGTCCTTGTTGGATATATATGCTATGTTCTTTTTTTTATGCAGCCTGTGGGCTGAATGAAAAAAAGAGAAGAAATCTCTGCCAGAAAAAAAAAGTGTGTGGTATGCCCACCATTAGAATATACTGCGCTGCATCCACCCACTTCTAATGGTGGGCACACATGAAATGTGCCAAAAAATATTGTAAAATATATATGCCGAAGCATAGGGGCCATCTACCCACTGGCCACCTCAGGCCCCCATGCTTCGGCATATATGCTCTTTTTTTAAACTGCTTTGCATGGAGAAAAAAACAGCCACGTTGCTGTTCCGTGTACAGAGACCTGCGTTGTTAGTAAGCACAGGGCTCTGTACTGTCATTTGCTAAGCCAATGTACATGTACATAATCCAGCGCAGAGAAGCTGCCCCTCTGCAGTATATCTACATGGGACAGTCCACAAATGGTTAATTAGTGGGGCACACAAACTCAAGAATACATTTTTTTTAATTTTTTAGCTCTTCTCTCTCTAGAAGTTATACAGTTTATTTGTCCGTCAATTAGCTGATACTTCTTATTGTGGCTAAAAGCAGGCTCAAAGCAGTAAAAGGTCTTTAACTTCACAACAATTGAAGGTTTAATTTATGTCTCATGTCTTGTATGATTATGGCAGACCAGGGGCGGACTGACCATTTGAGCACTCGGGTCAGTAGGGGGCCCCATGAGATGCCCCTGGTACTTTTTATAGGCTTTGTTGGGTGTGGTTTGAGTGTGGACGAGGACACAGGGGCCCCATGATCCCCTATTGCCCGGGGGACCCATGAGTTGTCAGTCCACCCCTGTGGCAGACATTGTTGGTCAAAGATGCTTGTTTTTCATTAACCATGCATCAGGCAATTTAATACTTCCGATGCTCTATAAGCTGATAAACTTTGTAATTCACCAGAAAATATAAAAGGTTTTGAAAATATAAAACAATAAAGAAAACCTTGATTAAAAGTAAATGCAATATTACCCCATCCCCTTTGACCAATTTGAATAAAAAAAGGTTTAACCTCCCTGGCGGTATGATTATTTCAGATTTTTGGTGCTGAAAGCGGTACCATTATTTTGCATGGAAATATGTAGTTTTTTTATTGTAGGCTGTAATTTTTAGGAATAACTCACTGAAATCTGTCCGAACAAGAGTCTATTAAACACCCCGGGTATGATAAAATTTGAAACACGAAATCATAAATTATAATTTAATAAATAATCATAAAAAAATAATAATATAATAATAATACATTTAATTCAATAATATAATCAAACCGAAAACACTGAAATTTGAAATAGAGCGCCAAGTTCGTACGTTGCTGAGCAAAGTCGCAAAATCGTTTTCAGTGTCTGATGACGAATTTCCCCCACGAATCATTATCACTCAATTCTGCAAGTGGTTCTGATTTACTATCGCTGTTCTCTAGCTGATCTAAACCCGCTTTTGACCTAAAGGGACACTTTTTGGACGCCATGGATTTTTCTAAGTTTCCAGGCAGAAAGACAGACAAAATGTAGGCAGGGCACAGGACAAAGCACTAGGGACAATATGTATGTGAAATGAGTTGAAACAGCAATGTTTTACTGTGAAAAATGTGTTTTGAAAAAAATGACATTTTTTAAAAGTTTCAAATTTCCCGCCGCCGCCACCGCCCGTACGTCCCGACGTCACGGGGACCGGAACACAGAAACCGGAGGAGATGGCCGGGGACGCTTCAGGGGACACATCGTGGGAGCGAAGGACAAGGTAAGTGCTGCAGGGACTCCCTATGCAGCGCCGCATGGTAAGCCCGAGTGTAGCTCGGGGTTACCGCTTTTGGTACTAAAACTCTACACCGAGCTACACTCGGGAATACCGCCAGGGAGGTTAAACTTGACTCCCGGCTCATATCCATATTTGTTTGTACAAAAAGGGATGTAAGAAACAATTAATTCAGGAAGCAGGCAAAGGCATAGTCAGTAAATGGGCAAATGTTCGTCCAGGCGGCAGGCAGACACGTCAGTAAACAGGCACAAAGTCTGTCCAGGCAGCAGGAAGACATTTGGTCAGTAAAAAGATAGTCAGTCCAGGTGGCAGGTAGAGATGTGTTCAATAACAACCGAAGGGTCAGTCTAGACAGAAGGCAGAAGAGATGGTCAATAACAGGCAGGGGTCAGTCTGGGCAACAGCCAGAGATGTAGTCAAAATACAGCAAGGGTTAATACAGGGAAGAAAAGATACAGGAAATGGCAGCTAATGAAGCACACAGCAAAGCCTATCTCAAGCACTATGTGCAGAATTAGTGAGGCTTAACTCTTTTACTGCTGGATAGCAGGGAAGAAGATCAGTGAATGTCCATTTGCTGATCTCCCCTACCTGTTAATGGCATTGAACTGGCAATGTCACTTCCTGGTCCTGGTGTCACTTTCCGCAGCCAGTATAGCCAAGGAAGAAGCCAGTGGAGTGTGATCTGCTGGCTCAGACATATGGGTGGATCCTCACATTTAAGTCTGGACTGACTGAGTGATGTCAGCTAACATCCGACTTTAACCAGCTGTTGGCTGAATATGGGTCACGGGAGTGCAAAACAAAGTACACTCCTGTGACCCACAGGAGAAGTAGAACAAGAAGAGCTTTGGTACTTCTTCTCCTTTAAAGACACTCTTCATACTACAGATCCTACAGGGAAATCCAGGTTTTTACATGTCTGCAGACCGACTACCCAAACATCACTAGCATTGTATAGAAAAATGCACATCAACCTACAAGCTGCAGACATACAAATCCCACAAAGAGCCAAGCCTCTGAAATCATCACTTGCTAAAACTGTTAAAAATCAACAAGATAATAGTAAGACATATACCAATGGAAAATGTGGTGCGAAAGTAGTACACTTCCATTCTGAATCTCTAGTTAGGCCTAAGAAACATACTGGCATACTGAAAAAGGGACAATCAAAACTCTCCAATCCAAACTAAATAGTGGTGCTCAGACTCTGGGTCACTGCCCAGTGCTGGACCATGGACTCCCTTTTGCCATGCCATTCCTTTCTCTGTTCCTTCCTGTTAATGCAGGGCACTGCTGTACATTACAGAAGCCAAAAACCACAGCGGGATTCTCACATTGCACCATGAGAAGATGGGGAAGTGACAACAACAAGGACCAGAGCCCTCTACTGACAGAACATGAACAGCATCCAGAACTATCATCCCATGTAAGGTAAATGTCTCTAGATCTGTGGTTTTCAGTCCTGGGATGTGCATATTTGGGAAACGCATGTGTGCAGGATCAGAACCTTTTTAACCACACTCCTTGAAGATGCTCAGTTTGCAGAACAATGTGCCTATGCCTGCTTCTTGCCGAAGTGCACGGTGCATTTTTTTTTTAGACTCATGTATCCCTCTTTCTTTTACAATCTAAAGTTGGGAGGTATAGTATAATGTGATGTTGTGACTTAATTTAACAAAGCTATGGCAGCATGGTGTAGTATGTTTTTGAAGGTGCTAAGCTCCTACTGGCTAATAAAATTGTGATTGTATGAGTATTGTACTTTCTTTTTTACCAGTAGGACATGAAAGGTTTGGAAAGAATTTAAAAGGCCCTGGTCTTTCTAAGGTTAAGGACTTCTGGCTTAGAGTGACAAGTCAACATACACTTATGAACTGTCTGAAGAACACATATGGAATGCCAGTTGTCTTTTGCCTGTTGGGAATGACTTTTCAGAATTTTATTTGACAAAAGACATTTTCTTATTCCTATTGATAACAACCAAACTGGAGGCTAGGAATGTGAACCTCCTAGACGTGTTCAAGAATCAGAAAACTTTGTGTGTGGAGCAAGAATTGTTTGATATTAAATTCATTTTACATTGCTGCTGTCTGTATTTTTTTTTAATCTTGAGGAAACGACTATTTTCTACTTTCAGGGGAATTTGTTGTATTCATACCTCTGGCCTCTTGAGGTCACTATTTACAGTTGTACATAAACTCACTGGCAACTTTATTAGGTGCACCTTTTCAATTGCTTGGAAACACAAATTGCTAATCAGCCAATCACATAGCAGCAACTCAATGCATTTAAGCATCTAGATGTGAAGATGACTTGCTGAAGTTCAGACCAAGCATCAGAATGGGAAAGAAAGGGATTTAAGTGACTTTGAATGTGGCATGGTTGTTGGTGCCAGAAAGGTTGGTCTGAGTATTTCAAAAACTGCTGATCTATTGGGATTTTCATGCACAACCATCTCTAGGGTTTACAGAGAATGGTCCGAAAAAGATAAAATATCTAGTGAGTGGCAGTTGTGTGGACATAATTACTTTGTTGATGTCAGAGGTCAGAGGAAAATGGGCAGACTGGTTTGAGATTATAGAAAGGCAACATTAACTCATGTTAATATGGACCAAAATATCTGAGGAATGTTCCAACACCTTGCTGAATCTATGCCATGAAGAATTAAGGCAGTTCTGAAGGCAAAAGGGGGTCCAACCTGGTACTTGCAAGGTGTACCTAATAAAGTGGCCGGTGAGCATATAAATCACTTTTTATACTCTGTAAAGTTTGTTTCAGTTCCTGCTTTAAGAACACCTGAACTTGCTAGTAAAGTATTCTGTAACTACTCTGCCTCCCAGGTTACAGGACACAAAGTTGGATCTTCCCTTTATTTGCTTCTTCTCTGGTCCAGGGAGGTCCTCTGATGTTGCAGATGCTTTTTGCTTCAATGTACTATGGATGAAGTGCACCATGGTGACACACTATGCAGTCGCCTGATTGCTTCCAAACTCCCCCCCATAAAGGCCCTCCCCTTGCACACATGCATCCGCTCTCCTCCCCTTCTTGTTGACCTGGAAGTGGCATGTCACATTCCCCACCCTGTATGGCTGGGGAAAAATCAAATACAGTATGATCTGCACTGCATTAGATTCAATGGAGGACAGGTGAGATCTTTTAGACCCTTTTAATAAAGAGAACCTGTCAAAAAATCATCACACACGGAACTTTTGTTCCCTATGTAATGAAAAAAAGTTAAATAAAAAATTGTAAAAAATTAAAGTTACACCCAAGCACATAAAATCCCTCCTTTAAAAATATTTGAAGCCCCCGGCTCCCATATACATGCATGTATTAAAATGCATGATTGAGGGCACTGAGGCATGAAAACATTGATTGCGATGCACATTACATAGCACTATGCACACCAGAGTGAAAGCAATAATTATAGTACCAGACCTTCTGCTTGACACTAAACTGATATCTGTAGGGGCTTTTAAAGCCTTGCCTTTGGAAAATATAGGGTACTGAAGGTTGCTATCATTTCACAGGCCACACAATTTTAATCCTTGACATGTGTATATTTTTACTCAGCACAACCTCATATTTTATATCTTACCTGAAATTGGGTAATTTATTGTATTTGCGTACCCTAAAATTAACTTTAGAGTAGTTTTTACTGGCGTTTGCATTTCCTAGACCTTAGTGCTAATGTTTTGTAACAATCTATTTTTTCTGTAGGGTGTCTGCTTTCACAAAATATATAATGGTTTGGAAAGTTTATGCAATCTTCCAGGATGAAGATGATTATTTTAAAACGTGTGCAAAAAAAAAAAAAAAAAGCAAAAAAATGGGTTAAACAAAACAGTCATATAAGTTGAAAACACTCCCGATGGTTAATTGTGCCAACTGTGCTGCAATGTTGAGCACATTTTGTTTTAATTTTTTGCAAATCTCTGTTCAGTGTAAATCTACTTATTGTTAATAAAGCATAGTATTCTTAATAATACTACTATTATTATGCAAAGTCAAACTTTCAGTTTGGAAATATTTCCTCATCTCTAGAGTCAGTACTAATTACATTCAGTTAGTATAATGTAGTACTGTAGCACAGGGCCAGCATTATTGTGGATGACAATTACCATTATTGAGCTAACTAAAAAAATTTATAAAACTGAGATTTTAAACTGTGCTTTTCATATACAGTTTAACTATTATTCATGAAGTTAAAAGAGCATTTTATATGTTTTGGGTTTTCTGACGTGACAACTACACATTTGATTTTTTTGTGCATTAAACCCTTTTGTGAATTATATAGAAAAAATGTGAGATTTTAGTAATTCTTAGAAATGTTCCAGTTTTTGGATTTTCTGGATATTGCCCTGGTCTTTCTCATATTTAGGGAATACTGCATCCCAATGTATAAAGACCATTTTCTATTCCAGAATAGTGAGCTAGTGTAGAATGTGAAGGTTTACATAAATGGCTTTATCAGCACTGACTAAGCAGATAATGTACTTCATACAACAGTTGGGTTGGTGTATTCATGGAGATACAAAAGGTCAAAATACAAAAGAGTTTAAACATCCTGCTAGAATCACAACCTTCCACTGCAGTTTGCTTTCATCCCTATAGCAAACTTAAACTTAGTCTTCCAGTACTTTGTTTATTATAATAGAATACCCCACTACAATTTTTTTATTCTGTGTTATCTCAACTGTAAGTTGTTGTGGTTTGAATGAAGATACAAAGAAATTTTAAATGGACTTTGCCAGTACCACTTGAGAAAAATATATAAAAGCAGAAACTTTTATTGATGTCAATACATGAGATTAACCACTTGCCCTCCTGAGGATTTACCCCCCTTCCTGACCAGGACAATTTTTTGCTTTAAGGCGCAGCGTTACTTTAGCTGACGATTGCGCGGTCATGCAACGCTGCACCCAAATTAAAATTTACATATTTTTTTCCCACTAATTGAGCTTTCTTTCAGTGGTATTTGATCGCTATTATTTTTTGCGCTATAAAAAAAGGCTGACAATTTTGAGAAAAAAAACTATATTTTTGACTTTTTGCTATTAAACATGTCCAGTAAAAAAAATCACATTTCATCATAAATTTTGCCCAAAATGTATTCTAGTACATGTCTTTTGCTAAAAAAAAATGGCGGTGATCAGCGACTTATAGCGAGACTGCACGACTGCGACTGACATTCTGACACTGGGGGGAACTGACTTGATGTCACTGACATCTCCAGTGACACCAATACAGTGATCAGTGCTAAAACAAAGCATTGACACTGTACTAATGGCACTGGGCAGAAAGGGGTTAACATGAGGAGCGATCAAAGGGTTAACTGTCTGTAGGGAGTGTTTTACTAAGGGGCTGTGTCAGTGTGCCTCACTGTAATCACACTGCTCTGGATGGCTGTGCAAAAAAAATCTTCTGTTTCTTTTTTCCTCTTGTTGTCCCTCTTTTTGCTCCTGTGTTCATCTGTTGCACCTGGATACACAGCTTTACAAAAGTGAAATTGCCGTTCCATCCTGAGGAAGCGGACTAAGTCAATGAAACGGCACACCATTACAATATTGATTATCCCATTGGAAACTACATTATATTGAAACTATATTAAGAGTTTTTTTATCTGGTGTTAGGGTACCATATGGAACAAAATTATGTACAAAATAATAAGAGATATTTTTTTGCTTTTAAAAATAATTCTAGGCTTTTAATCTTATGTATTGATATCGACAAAAGTTGCAGATTCTCTATATTTCCCCAAAATGGAACCAGTAAAGTCTGTTTCAGTTTCTTCTATGTATCTTGGTTATATTGTCGATGCGGTACCATATAGACTAATTGTTTGCTATATAATATGCATTTTGAGTGCACATCGATGCATGTTTTGCATGCACAATAATACATTTTCAAAGCATTTTTAGATGTATTGTACAGCATGGTTGGAGCTTATATGCATGATTGAAGCATGTTAATAACATGGATGGAGCTTGCTTTTAGCCAACTGCGATCAGTATAGACCTGATGATATTTATTGAGAGTCAAAAAATATTTATTGGCTTTCACAAACTTTCTTGCCCCGGAGCATTCAACCAAATGTAAACATTCTCTCCCCAACTGTCTACCAATGTTTTAATCAGGATTGCTGCCACGAGACATTAGAGTTAAAAAAAACACTAATAACTGCATCATATATATTTAAAAAGCCTAAGTCCTTATTTTTGGATAGACATGATGTAGTGTGCCAAAGGAATCAGGAGCTGTGACAAACGGGAAAATGGGAGGTCATGTGGAGAAAACAATAGTTAACGCAAATGTTACAACAGAACTTCAGATACTGTGGGAGTTAAACTGAACGGTGTTCTAATATTTTCTTTGTATATGACAGTCACCAAGAAAGGGGTGATGTAGATCCATCTATTCCATTTTAGTAAAGCTAATTAGTGCTGCTGCTGGTTAGTGCATTCTACAGCCACATTTCCTACCACAGATGTCACAGATTTACGTCACTCCTATGATAGATTGACTTTGACACCTTTATCACCATTTACACCTTCTTAACTATGAGAATGATATAATATTGGTTGCTTAAGACTATTATGGTAGCTGCGTTTATATCTCATTAAGTGGTCACTCCGTATCATGAGATAGATCCATTCACTCTAGCGCTGCATGTTTTTGTATATGATTGTCCACCACGAGGCGTTTTGGAGGCTTGCCTTTCATGCCAGCTGCTTTAATATTTCGCTCTAAAACTGTCCAGCGCTCGTTATACTCCTTTTTCTAATTAGTGCTGCGCTTATTCTAAGTGAAAAAATAAACTCCTATTATAAATATACCACACAAAGTATTAATAATAGTGAAAATGCTATGATAATATACACAAAATTAGAAATAAAATATAGAATAGAATACACATCAAAACATTCAAACTTATGGATAACAGTGAATAACACCCAAACATACACCACTGGAAATAAATAGTTGACTATGGGTGAAATATATATACTGCTTCTTTCATAAATTGTGCCCACATAAAACAGTGATATGATCTTTAAATAGGATCCCAAAAGAACAGTGATAAAAATAAAGCCACAAGACTTCTATAATGCAACTAAATCGTTGCTATAAGAAATAATCCCAAGATGTACGTATTCACAGTGAACATAATGAAAAAATGGGCGAAAGTGAAAAAACAAAAAAACTGTTGAAACTGTGTGTAATGAAATTTAAGTCACAAGGCTTTATGCAACACAACTCTGTTGCTGAAGAAAATAATCAGCCAAAACGTACGGATAAAGGTGAAAATAGTGATGAATAGAATACACTTGAAAACCACAGAACAGTGACCCCTAAATCCATCTATGGATTCTGAAAGCACAGAAAACAGTTTTTGGTGCAAAGTAACTTTAGCCTTTTAGTTAACCTGTATCCATAAAAGAAACATGAAATTTCCAGGATTCTGTAGACGCTGGTTCTGGCGCCCTGCCTCCCGTAGCTAACTACTGGTTGGAGAGGCCCTCTATAATAGTGGTGGGAAAATATTTAGGTGCAACCTAAGCCATTGGACACTGGTTTCGATTATCTGGTCGCATTGCCTTGCTTTTCTGAAGTTCAGGGCACTCTTCAGTAAATCAGGAGGTGATAATATAAGTGTCTGCTACATACCTGTTAATATGGACACGGGTTTGCCTTGAAGCCTGAAATCTTTAAGGACATGCTTTTGCAAGAGCAGCCAAACAATGCTTAAGCAACAAGATCTTTAATATGCAGACAGGGAATTGTACAGCATGCCCACACACAGCCATTACAGAATTACACAGCTGTTATTGCCTGCCTCTTCTGAATACCTTACATGTTGCCAAGAATGGACAATAATCACTGCAGCCACAACAGATGATGTTAAGAATCTCTTTCCAGACCTAGTAATACTATTCTTTTTATTCTGTAGGACAGGCATTGAAATCAACACACAGATCAAATATTATATTTAATAGAAAAAGCAGTTACCAGTTATTTTACTGTTGTATGTTTTCTCAAAACCAACCGATTCCTTACATGTGTTGGCTGTAGTGGTTTTCTTTTTTCAGGCTAAGAACAATATTAGCAAGTACAGAAATAGTGGGTCCTTCTGTCCGTAAAGTACCAATATCCCCATTCCTCATGTATTGTAGATGAACAAGGGCAGACAGGTTTGACATCCAGCCTGGGTGGCAACCATGGCCACCTCCATAGACACAGTGGAATGAACACCCAGGGACAGGGAGTATGTGAACATAAAGGTAAAACAGCTGGAAAACAACAACAAACTAATGCAGCCACAGCAACTAAAGACTTATAAGCTGCCATTTTAGTTTAGTGGTGTGTACATTTTAAACATTACTCCCTTTTTTAACTTATGTTGGACAGAAACACCATAACTAAAGGACACTTTGGGGGAGAGTTACTAAAATTGGAGCACTTAGAATCTGGTGCAACTGTTCAAAGTAGCCAATCAGCTTCTTACTTCAGCTTATACAATTAAGATTTGTCAATAAAACCTGAAAGCTGATTGCTTCTATGCAGAGTTGCACAGTCCAGTTTTAGTAAATAACCCCTTTTACATGATCATTAACCTCCCTGGCAGTATTCCCGAGTGTAGCTCGGGTAAAGTTTCAGTACTACAAGCGGTAACCCCGAGCTACACTCGGGCTTACCATGCGGCGCTGTTCCGGGATCCCTCGATCACTTACCTTGTCCTGTGCTCCCGCGATGTCCCTCCTGCAGTGTCCCGGCAATGTTCTCCGGCCAATGCCGGCATCTGTTTTCCGGGTTCCGTTCCCTGCAATGTCAGGACGTACGACGGAACGGCGGGAAATTTGAAAATGACAAAAAGTGACATTCGCTAAATACACTAAAATCGCATAGTAAAACATTACTGTATCAAAGCATTTCACACACATTTTGTCCCGAGTGCTTTGTCCTGTGCCCTGCCTACATTTTTACCGTTCTTTCTGCCTGGAAACTTAGAAACGTCAATGGCGTCCAAAAAGCATCCCTTTAGGTCAAAAGCGGTTTTAGACCAGCATAGAGACATTAGAACTACTTGCAGAACTGAGTGATAATGATTCATAGGGAAATTCGTCATCAGACACTACTAAAAACGATTTTGCGACTTTGCTCAGTGATGTGCGAACTTTGCGCTCAATTTCAAATTTCAGTATTTTTGGTTTGATTATATTGTTGAATTAAATGTATTATTATTATATTATTATTTTTTATGATTATTTATTAAATTATAATTTATGATTTCGTGTATCAAATTGTAACATACTGGGGATGTTTACTAGACTCTTGTTCGGACAGATTTCAGTGAGTTATTCCTAAAAATTACAGGCCTACAATAAAAAAATACATATTTCCATTCAAAAAAATGTACCGCTTTGAGTACAGAAATATGAACATAATCAGACTGCTAGGGAGGTTAAAATGTATTTTGCAGCCACACTGAGATAACACCTATTTTAACCACTTCAAGTCTGGCCACTTTCACCCCTTTCTAGTCTGGGGCAATTTTCAGCTTTCAGCACTGTCACACTTTGAATGACAATTGCGCTGTTATGCAACACTGTACCCAAGTTAAATTTTTAGAATTTCTTTAAGATAGATAGAACTTTCTTTTGGTGGTATTTATTCACCACTGGGATTTTTTTTTTACTATAAAAAGTAAAAAAAGACTGAAAATTTTGAAAAAAACATGTTTTTCTTCATTTTGCAAATAATCTTTCTTCATAAATCTTGGCACAAATGTATTCTGCTACCTTTTGGTAAAAATAAAATAACCCAAATCAGTTTATAGCAAAATAATTATAATTTTTCACATTTTTTTAACATTCTTATTTTTTTATTTATTTATGTTTTTTTTTTGTTTTTGTTTTTAACATACCGTCACCCTAGCTGTACAGTATCACCATAGTGGCACTGTACTACTTGTGGGGGGGTGATCAAGATTTTGTTTTTACACTGTGATTGCTTTTACATCTGTAAAGCCGGTAAAAGCAATCATTCCTCCTTCTCTCTGGCTGCATTCCTGCAGCCATTGAGAAATACTGTGAGAGCTGTATTTGGTCACAGCTTATCACATGGCTTCTGTGAATGGACTTGTACCATGTGACCTCTGTGATCATTCACAGAATTCACAAGTAGTAAACAATGATGTCAGGAAATGACAACTTATTTACTACTGTTCATGTGATCACTGATTGGCCAATCAGTCATCACATGAATCGGGACGTCACCCAGCAGCCCCACACAGCAATCTGTGTTCCGCTGTGTCTGGTAGACACATTGGGCACAGATCGTGGCGCTGCGTACTCCCAGGGAGCGTGCACAGGCAATGGATGCGGGGGACATTTAGTCACCCCGCATCGGCAATCCTCCTGTCTGGCTGTTTACTGGAAGAGGTAAAACAATTTGCCTCTCACACCTGTCCCCAGACCAGAGCAACGTTTACAATTCTGCTATGGACCAGTTTATTCAGTGATAACTTTTTTCATTTCTTAAAATAACAAGGTAATACATATATTGTCTTTTAATGGACAAACAAGGTTTTTTCATAATTATTGTTCTGCAGCAATTATTGTTTTATTTTTGCAATCTTTAGACAATTAAATGAGAGCACACTTTTATTTTGGAATTTGTCCTGTTTTTAAAATGACACCAAAATTATGATTCTGGTACAAAGTATTCCAAAGTTATTTACAAATGAAATACAGTGTTTTTTTTGCACTTTTTAAATTGTGAAACATATAATTATATGTTAAATATGTAAAAATGTTAATGAACAAAATAAACAAAAACAAAAAAGTTTAAGTAGTAATGGTTGATAAAATAGAAATTAACAAATAATAAAAAAGGCAGGAAAATATTAAGGAAAATATTTAGCACATTGAGAGCACTATATATTGTGGATTTAATATGTGGCATTATTTTTATGCATATGTGCAGAATGTATGCATGTTGGTATTTATTTTTCACGTATATATACTGTACATGTAGTTTTTGAATTCGCACTAAATACAACTTATGCTGGTATTTATTTTTCACATTTCGTATAATTAGGCACTATTGAGTAGGGAATTCAGTTAAGGCTTTGTTTAATTGTAACACCAGAAGTGGAATAGAGACCTGTTGATTTGGTTATTTTTCAATTACCTATATTATTTATTTTTTTTACTGTAGTGCTGCAACTCTTTAATTCCCTAATTAGCTTAGTTGTCCTTTTCCTGGACTTTCTTCATTTCCAGCACATCCTTCCTAAGGACTGGAAGGCAGAACAGGACAGAATATTCAGGATGTGGCTTTACCAGAGTTTTGTAAAGTTGTAGAATTATAGTTTTATCTCTTGAGTAGATACCTTTTTTAATGCATGCTAATGGTCTGCTAGCTTTGCTTGCTGCAGTTTGGCATTTCATGCTATTGCTGAGACTGTCATTTACTAGGACCCCCAGATCCTTTTCCACCATAGATTCCCCCAGAGCTTCTCCCACCAGCAAGTAACTTGTGTTCATATTTTCTATCTCCCAAATGCAGTACTTTACATTTTTCAGTACTGAATCTCATTTGCCATGTATTTGGCCACCCTTTATTTTATCAAGGTTGTCTTGTAAAACTGCTCTATCCTGTTGTAAAATTATTACCCTGCTTAGCTTTGTATCGTCAGCGAACACCAAGATTGATCTATTTATACCAACCTGAATATCATTTATGAACATGTTAAACAGAATTGGCCCCAGGACAGAGTCTTAGGCCATCCAACTTACAACTAAAGACCATTCAGAAGATACAATATATATCACCACTCTCAGGACGTGCTCCTGTAACCAGTTTTCTATCCAGGAACATACACTATCGTCAATGCCAACTGACCTCAATTTGGGGTACTGTATCAAATGCCTTAGCGAAATCCAGATACACTGCATCCACAGGCCTTCCTCTATCCAGATTACAGCTCAGCTTCCCATAGAACGTTAACAGGTTGGTCTGACAAGCACCATTTTTCATAAATCTTTCATGGTTACCATTAATAATACCATTTGCATCAGCAATTTCTGGGATTTGGTCCATTATCAACCCCTCCAATAATTCAGAAACTCTTGATTTTAGACTAACAGGTCTTTAATTTACATCTTGGCCCCTTTTGAGTTTTGATACACATTAGCTTTTTGCCAATCACTTGGTATCATCCCAGTCAGTAAACTGTCCTTAAAGACTGGGAATAAAGGTCTGGCTATAACACGATTAAAACTCTTTGAGGACTCTTGGGTGTAAGCCTTCTGGTCCTGGTGATTAGGTTTTTCAAATCTTTTTTGAACACCGGATTTTGTTAGCCACAAGGGTGCTTTCTGTGTTGTGTTACTAACAATACTGTCTTGTTTATTATACCCCTCCTTTTCCTTTGCAATAACCGAGGAAAAGGAGGGGTATAACTGTGCACTCAAGTTTTGCCACTCTATCAAATGGACTTCTGATGAAGACTACAAGTGGCTCTTTTAACAAACAATGTGCATGCATAGGCCACTGTTGTTACCTGCAGAAAACCTGCCCAGAGAAATGCCATGCAGCCAGCACTGAACTACATGCATGTAGATAGGTCTCTCCTAGAAAATGGGTTATTTTTTTTTTATAGGAGAACAGAGGCTTAAAGCAAGTATATCAATATATCAATGGATGCTTTAAGCTACTGTTGTCCTTGTAAAACTGCAAAACTTGCAAAACTAAAAGTTTCACCCTAAAATGTGTTGTTGTGTGTGGATGAAAGCTGCAACTTATTGTTGCAAATCTGTAAATCATTCCACCTTTTAATTTTGTAAATATATAATTAAATAAGCCACTTTGAAAAAAGTATGTTTACAAATAGAACAAACAAGATCAGCATACTCCTAGATTTCCGCTTACTTATGAAACTGGTGCCAAGCCATGCAACATGCAAGTAAATAGTACACAAATGTAATATTTACTAAGAACCATTAATTAAAGACTAGCAAAGGACAACAGTATTTTGTGCAAATGCAGCTGCTTGGACGCAAGTCAAAACATGTCTCCTTGGAAGGATTTCTTTGAGCTAGTACTAGAGCATTAGACTCACTGAAATCAAATCTGAACATGGAATGTAATTTATGGCATCCTATATTAAAAGGAGTGGAAATTGTAAATGTTCTTTAGTTAGTTGAAAAACAAGTATATTCTGAAAACCTGTCAATATTCTTTCTTATATTAGTAGAATTCCTACAATATGTAAATATGAGAACAAATTATTGGTAGAAGCTAGATGCTAGACTTAAAAAATTACAAATAATCATAAGAAAACAGTGAAAAATTAAAAAAAAAATAGTCCATCCAAAAATAAAAGAAAAGTCCCAGAGGCAGCGATGAAACAAAATAAATCCAAGGACAGTTGTTGTGTCACCAACCACTACTACAGAAGGCTTACCAGAAAGGTATGACCCCGTGTTAAGAGTGGTCAATCGCACTTTGTTAAACAATCCAGAAAGCAGGTCACTTGAATCCTCCTCCAGATCACCAAAACAGCAGATAAGGATCTTCCAAACAATGAACCTTAATTAAGGTAGCTAAACAATTCAGGATAAGGCTTGGACTCATGGTAGAAAACATGCAAAGAAAGAATGCTCCACATAGTATAAAACCATATTCACAACATTTATTTAAAGTATGGTTGCACTCACATGTAAGCAAACATCATTAGGCATTGACTGGCAAAAAAATCAAAAATTTCCAGTTTCCAAAATGTCCTACGCGTTTCGTCACATGTAACGTCATCAGGGGCACACGCTACTGCGCATGCATGAATGGCCAGTGGCCACTTTGGAAACTGGAAAATTTAGAGTTCTTTGCCAATCAATGCCTAATGATGTTTGCTTACATGTGAGTGCAACAACACTTT